CAAGCATTTTTAACCACTGAGCCATTTCCCCATGCCCATCATAGCATATTCTCCTCCCCCCCTTTTCTTTCTTTTTTCCTTTGGTGGGATGGGGTTGGTTTCTTGCTGTGTAGCCCTCACTGTCCTAGAGCTTACTCTGTAGACCAGGCTGGCCTCGAACTCAGAGATCCTCCTGCCTCTGCCTCCCAAGTGCTGGGCTTAGAGGTGTGCACCACCGTGCCTAGCTAAAGCATACTTTTAAAAGCTCTGTGTTCAGGGCTGAGGAGGTGGCTCAGCTCTTTTGGTGCAAGAATGAGGACAGGAGTCTGAATGCCAGACCCCACGTGAAAAGACAGGCAGGTTTGGCAGTTGCTTGTGGGGGCAGCACTCCAGAGGTAGAGAGGACAGGACTAGAAATGTTGAGACTAACAAAACCAGTACATCTGGACCTCCACACAGACACACACTTGTTGCACATGCATGCACCCACACGCATGTGAACATACATACACATGCTATAAATGTTGCTAAGAACAAAGGGCAAAGTAGCGTTCTTAAGGTGGGAAGGTCTGGAAACATCACATCAGTCAATCAGCTTCATCAGCATGGGATGAACTGCATCTTGTCCCTCGGGAACGATACTTTGAGGAGGACCAGTGCAATTTTGTGGCGATTCTATTTTGTTCTTGTCATCCCTGATGTGGGTGGTGTTTTAATGTCCTTCCGGGCTTTGGTGTCATAGAGAAATGAACATCACTCCCTGCCATATCACCAAATCTGTAGGTGGAATACAGATTGAAGAAATATTGTTCACTGTGTGGCTGTGATGGTTGCTTTCCCGACCATCTTGACCTAGCCTGGAATCACCCGGGAAGACAACCTCAAGAGAAGGATTCCGTCTATCGCCTTGGCCCATGGGCATGTCTGTGGGGGATTGTTTTGTAGAAGATCCAGCCCATTGCTGGCAGCACCATTCCTTAGGCAGCAGGTTCTGCCCAGGCCAAGCGAGGAGAGAGCTAGCTGAGAGCAAGCACACAGGATGTTTTTATTGTCTTTGCTCTCGACTGTGGGAGCAACATGGCTGGCTGCTTGAGTTCCTACCTTTACTTGGAATTTTGATCCAAATAAACCTTCCTGTCCTATTTTGTTTTTGGTCAGGGTATTTTTTTTATCACAGCAACAGAAATGAAACAAGGAAAGCGACACACTGTGGGCACTCACCTCTCACCGACTAAACCCCCTTCCTCAGACTCCTGACCTCAGTATCCCCAGCAGCACCAAATTTCTGTCCATGGTGCCCCCGACTGTCCCAGAGGAGCAGCCAGACTTCACCTCACACGGAATGGATAGAGCTAGATAGAACATGAGACGTGTCATGTCCAGGAGATAGAAACTCCTGAGCCTATTGCACAAATAATTTCCCCCCTACGGCACAATCGTCTTAGCGCTTATTGCTTTTGCTCTTAACGACGAAAGGAGAATAAAAACCACGTGAGCAGCAGCGTCAAGCTTGTCTCGTAGGAGTCGGCGCATTGCGAGTGAACTTTCACAGTCAACCATTTCTAGCTTGTCGCCTGCCATGTGCAGTCTGGAAAGCAATGTGTGCATCACCTGTTTCCTTCCCTCAGCCACTCTGGAATGCTCTGACCCTGCCTCTGTGGGTTGAATCTTGTGAAGTTTCCCCACAGAGGTTTTAAGGCCGAAGATGGGAATACTCTGAAGAGAGATGAAAGCACAGTGTGTGGGGACCCACCTCAGTAGAGAGGAAAGTCCGTGTTTGAAAAGCAACCTTCCCTGGGCCAGGCCCTGCTGGGGAATGTGTGGCTCCTGCAGGGGGAGGCAAGCCGTCCCAGTTTGTCCCTTCTAGTAACCGCCTCAGTCCCTCACAGTTAACAACAGGCAACACAGTCTCTTGATTTTGTAGTCCAGGCTGATATGGAACTCACTTTGTAGCCTTGGTTGTTTTTGAGCTCATGGCCTACCTCCTGCCTCAGCCTCCTACATGCTGGGATCTGTGTAGCTCAGCGCTTTGAATGGACACTGTTCACTGCTTGCTGCCTGTCTTCTACAATACCTTCGTTATGGGAGATGTTGTGTTCCAGCCAGAAGTCAACAGTCCAGGGGCTGGGCTTGGAAAGAGTTGGCATGGATCAAATGCAAAGCTTTAAATATGAAAACTTGGGTGGAAAGATAATGGGGATGAAGCTGAGGATGTGACTCGGTTGGCAGGGTGCCACATACAAAGACGTGGGTGGGCTCAATCCTCAGCGCTTCATTGGCTAGGTGTGGTGGAGCACTCCTAGGAGTCGGGAGACGAAGGCAAGAGCATCAGGATTTCAAAGTCATCCTTGGCTATGTAAGTGGGGTTGAGGTCAGCCTGAGTATCATGAGATGCTGTACGAAAAGAAAGGAATGAAGATGAAGCTGCCTCTCTTCCTCTGGGCTTTGTGAAAGCCAAGGTTCTTTATCACATGCCAGTTCAGCCGAGGTGGGGGAAGCCCCCTCTGGCTCTGGATGATGTATGTTTTTCAGTACAAAGTCTGGCCTTGCCCCATTCCTCAGAGACGCTCTCTGGGAAGCCTTGCCCTCCCACATGGCCTTCTCGACTAATAAACAAGTAGCTAACCACGCGTCATCTCTGACCCTTGGCCTCCAGTGGTCTCTGGGAGATGCTCACACAGCCTCCCTCTGACATACCCTGTGCCCGCTCATTTGGGCTCACCGTAACTGCTTCTGTCTTGTTGCCACAGTTGGCCTGATCATCCCTAGACATGGGTAGAGGACATGTGTTTGGTGGCTTATAGGTTCTCCTCCATCCAAGTGATCCATTAGAAGTCCTCTGCTGTCCATTTCCTAACTCCAGGGTTTGAGACAAGACATAGTGGCATCGTTGTACCTAAATATCCCCACCAACTTTGCATTCTCACCCAGCCCTTTTCCCATGTGCTGTATTGGTTGTGGCTAAGAGCCAGGCATTGTGGTAAACACTTGCCATGGATTCTCTCCTTTGACCCTTTTGGTTTCTCTCCCTGAGGTATGTGCTGTTACAATTTGTATTTAGCAGTGGAGAAACTAAACCATGGAAGTGGTGAAATGAGGACAGCTGGGTTTGCAAAGAACGGCAGTGATGAAGGTTCCTCAGCAAGGGGGCAGATGTGTGGATGGGTCCAGGCCACCGAGAGTCAAGTCATGGCACTTCACTGACTAGACAAGGTGCAGTTTCGCGTCTGCTCGGAGAGCCGCTCCTCTCTGGAGAGTTTCTGCTCTCTGCCTTGCTCACCCTCGTCCACAGTCAATGACAGTAACTGTACTAATGTCCAGACCCCATGACGATAAAGTGGTCAATACAGGGAGCTTTATTCCCAGAGCATGGTTGGGCTTCAAGTCTACGGCCATAAGCTACAGCAGAGTCACAGAACACCTTGTGTGGTGTAGCCGTGTCTCACATCCCGTAGGCTTTTCCTCTGCGTCCACGTCATGTCCCTAGGGGCCCGATGTCTTCCTGTAGAATCATCAGCACACAATCATGTTTCTTGGAGTTGCAGGTTACCCAAGAGGTGAATAAAATCACCAGCACTTCATGCCCTTTGGGGGCTAAGTTAAATCTTTTCCTCCTGCGTGTGGTCAGGGCAAGGAAGTTCCATTAAAGCATAAACCTAGGTAGGAGAACGCTGTGTAACTCAGTATCACTTAACGCTGGAAGAAGGAAAATGGAACAAGACCCGTGAGGAGTTCTACACGGCACATAATTAGGTGTGCAAGTTTGTGTGCGTGTGTGTATCGGATTTCACGTACGGTGGCTTTTTTTCCATATGTAGCATTTTTTTTTTTTATAACCAGCAAGTAGATGGGACCTTGAGGTTTAATGAAAGGACTTGTATGGATAGCATGTGTTTCTCTTCATAGAAAATCAATTTCTCTGCCTGGTAAAAATGCACGATTTTAAAGTGACCGTGGACTAATTTTATTTGACCCTTAAATCATGTAGTTTTCTCCTCTTCTTTTATGATGTGTCACGGTTATATGAGGGGCTCATTTTTTGATTCCAGAGGTCTGTTCAGAATGAGTAAGAGGGGAGCCTCTGCCTTTTTAGTTGGTTTTCTGAAGGACATCTTTTACCAATCCTGAAAAATTCCAAGGTGTTGTTAGGAACATGGGAGGTATATTTAGAAGGATAACTTCATGTCCCTAGCTTCATCTTAGTGTGGGGCACATTTAATTAACAGCTTAAATGAGATTATTTGCACTTTCAAACATGTGGCTCAGGGAAATTATCTTGGAATAAGTTACTGGCAAATCTGTAATGTATTTCAAATGCCATTTGGGAAAAATGAGTTAGTATAAAGTCACTCGATTTAAGGACTCACTGTCTTTTAAGTACACATTTTATTTTTCGAAATTTATTTATTTTTCTTTAATGAGTATGGGTGTTTCGTCTGCATGTATGTCTGTACCATGTGCATGCAGTGCTCATGGAGGCCAGAAGAGGGCAGTAGATCCCATAGAACTGGGAACTGAACCCAGGTCCTCTGCAAGAGCAATACATGCTCTTTAGCTGCTAAACCATCTCTCCAGCCCACAAGCATACATTTTAAATATACACTTTGGGCTACTGGCTCTTCCAGAGGACCTAGATTTAATTCCCAGCACCCACATGGTGGTCACAACCATCTGTAACTGCAGTTCTAGGGGAATCCAGTGCCCTCTTCTGGCTTCTGCAGGTACTGTATGAATGTGGTGTGTTTGTGCGGGCAAAACACTCAGTCAGACACATGAAATAAATACAAATATACACAACCGTCATACACTTAACATATATTTGCAATATGATATATTATAGGTTCTGATTTTATATTTTTATCTCAAGTATGGCCCAACCTCTGCTGTGTTTCCTGATGGGTTTTCACAGGTCAGTTGCTTGAGATTTTTCATAGAAATCAAACTCATCTTAGCAGAAACAACCTGTTATGCCCTGTCCGTGGGGACCCCAAAAGGTCACCAGGGAGACTGACTCACTAAAATACAAAATCAAGGTTTATTGTATGCACAATACAGGCTGGCAGGGATCTTGTTAGCGCAGCAGCAAGAGGAGGTGGTACCCCGCCTTTCTAGAGGGCATTGTGTAAAGGCAAAACCCAGAAGAGTTACGTTAGCAGGGTGTGGGGGTGACGGGTTCAGTCCTGATTGGCTCGTGTCTAGGGACTTTTCAGAAATTTTATTTTGAACCTCGCCTGTTGCTTGTGAAGTTTTCTTATCGGCTGACCTTCGGGTGGGAACATTCTGCTGTCCTCTGTACTTTCCAGATGGCTACCCTGTTACTTTGCCCGGAGCCATTTCTGAGGACTGGAGTGTTTTACAGGAAATAGCTTACACAAGACACAAGATGGAGGCGGAGGACAAAATGGAGGAACTTTGGTTCTTCACAACCCATCCATAGTGATGTTGGTGGCCCACTGAGGTGATGGTGGGGGTCAGGTGGCCTGTTGTGGTTACTGTTCTTGTGGCTGTGATAAAAATCCCCATCAGAGCAGCTTAGGGAAAGAAGGGTCCCTTGTGGTTCTCAGCAGGGATGATTCTGTCTGCTAAGGTGGGGTGGGGCTCTAGCTGTGGCGGCAGGAGCCAGGCAGCCGGGTCACATAGCATCCTGCAGGCAGCCAGGGGCAGAGAGATGCACTCTGGAGCCCAGCTCTCTTTCCCCCTTTCCGTCAGTGTGGGACCCTGTTCATGGCAGTGCCTTGTCTCCGAGGCGATCCCAGAGTGCATGGAATGGACGAGACGAGTCACCCCAGTATCTTATGCTGAAATATGTCACTGTGACATAGCAACTATTTTAAGCTAAAAGAACTGGTGAAAATGCAAAGCTAGGAAGGGCACCCTTTTTCCATGAGCAAGTCACAAAACCTAGGAAGTAATCTGCCTTCTGTCTTGGCTTGCCTCACCTCTTACCTCCAACCTCCCCCCAACCCCCTGTTGTGTATGAGCACGCAGTCACACACTTGCGTCACGTAGGGTCAGAGTCAACTTTAGCTGTTGTTCTCTGGTTGATATTTATCTCATGAGTCACTGGCCTGGAGCTCACTAAGTAGGCCAGGTCAGTGACGGCTTGAGGGCATATGTAAAAGTGTCACGAGGGTACAGAACACACCAGGGTGGCAGTCTGTTCACGGTCTTGATTATGAGGGTGGTTCACTATAGGTCACTATAGGCACTATAGGTGCCTGGGGCCACCGAGCCCCAGGCATGACCCTTCCCCAGCGCCTGACATTTTTTAATGTGGATTCTGACGACCAAACTCAGGATATCATGTTTGTGCGGCATTTCCTGCCTGAGCTATCTCTCCAGCGGGATAAAGCACGGGAAGGGATTTCTGCCCTGCTGTGCTGCCTGCCCTTGAGGAGTTCCCGGTCCCCTTTCCTTTGTCACAGGCCTCTTTCTTCCCCATTTCACCAACCCTTTGGGTCTTCAGTTTTTTTCAGATGCGTCAAAGTTTTACCAAGTCTACCTGCATGCAGTATTCTTTATTTTTATTTATTTTGACACAAACTTCCCTACCTGTCCTGGAATTAGCTCTGTAGATCAGGCTGGCCTCGAACTCAGAAATCCACCCGGCTCAGCCTCTCCCAAGTGCTAGGATTAAAGCCATGATCCCTGCCTGCCGTATTCTCCTCCCTCTCCGTTTGCAGTACCGCAGTTGAGACGTACGCGGGAGGTTTGCAGCCGGACAGGTGGGCACCGTCTTCCTCTCCGTAGGCAGGGTTTGCTGCAGGCATTCCTTGCTGCCCGCTGCTGGGATAAAACTTCGGACAAAAGGGTTTAAAGAGGGCTGAGTGTTCTCTGGATCCTGGGGGTGGGGGTGGGGACGGGAGGCGGGCAGCAGGAGGGTGAGGTCACCTTGTTGGGTGCTGGCCTCCATTCTGTTTTTGTTCACCCAGGACGCAAATCTCCGGAGGGTGGGTGCAGCTCACATGCAGGGTGGGTGTTCGCTCTAAATCTGCCTGGAGACCCTCCTGAACACACCAGAGGTCTGTGTCTTAGGAGTTTTCAAATCCAGTCCAATTGTCAAGAAAAGCATTCCACCCTCTATAAGAAAAGGGAGGCTGACAAGATAAAAGACTAAGGAATGTATCTGCTGGTTGTTTTTGTGATGTAAGAGACTGCAGACCCACACGCAGACCCAGGGAAAAGTGCATGTTTTTGTGCTAAGATTTGATGAAGTATGGACAATTGTGTGGAAATATCCCTGAATCAGGGTAACCGGTTGGCAAGCCTGCTGATTGAAATGCGCCTTGATTTCAGTTCAAAAAACCTTTCCCCTGAGAGGGGGAGATGCGGGGGAGAGGGAAGGAGGAGGCAGGAGGAAAGATGGAGGAGGGGAAGGATGGGGGAGTGGGGAGGATGGCCTCAAAATGAGGATGGTGGGAGAAGAAACCTCTGTTTTGCTCAAGTGTGCCGAGGTGTCACCGTTTGCGGCTCGTGTTTCATGTGCCACATCGCGTAGAAAGAGAAAGATTTTTTTCTTCCTATGGTAGCATTTCTTTGAAAATGCACGTGATTTTGGTGTTGAAAAGTGTATGTCACAAACACAGACCTTAACCTCAAAAACTGGCACAGGAAACTTCTCTGAAGTTGAAACTTGAAACATAATTACCGGGTAAATGCCGTTGGGGGTGACTGCTTTTACCTTGCAAGCTTTCTTTGTAACATAATGATTAATTTCTTTTGCTACCTTATTATGGTCAGCAGCTCTGACCTAGATTGTTTTGAATTTTGTGGTTAAAGAGAAGTTTTTTTTTTCATTTTATATATGGTTGAATTTTATGCAATGACTTGAGAAATGACCTATATTATTCAGTTTTAATAAGTATGTTCCTGGGGATAGCCATATCTGTATTTACATAGTTCCACTTGGATTTCTAGGACCCCATTTTGCCTCCCAAGTTAGTCTAGTTTAAATTGTCACCTCCTCTCTTTCTCCCTCCCTCCCTCCTGCTCCTCGTCCTTTTTCCTTTCCTTCTTCACCCTCCCTCCTTCCCTTTCTCCTCCTCTTTCGTCGGCATTCACTTTTCTTCTTTTTTGATAGAGGTCATGCTCTTACCCAGGCGGTCTCAAATTTTTGAGCTCAAGCAATCCTCCTGCTGTAGGCTCTGGAGTAGCAGTGACTACAGGTACCTGTACTAGGGAAGCCACTGACTTGGCTTAAATCGTATCTTTGATCAACAGAAACAACATAAAGCTTCTTAAAAATAGCAACCCAAGCTAGGTATGGTGACACATGGCTGTAGTCCTAATGTTGGGGAGGTGGAGGCTAGAAGATCATGAGAGTTTGAGGCCAGCCTGGACTACATAAAAGTTATAGGACAGCCTGAGCTACAGAGTGAGAAAAGGAGCAAACACAAAAGCAAACCCCAAGCAACACAACACTCCAAGTGCATGTTGGCAGCATCACCTCTGATGGCAATGTATTTCCCTTCCTGCAGGGATGTGCAGCACAGATACCCGGCTCAGATTCCTTGTACACTTCCTGAGGAAGGGTTTTAAGTCATCTCCAGGAGAGGCAGGAAGACTCCCTGTGATCTGTGGTGGCTGCTCCAACCAATCGCAAGTACTTTAAGGGCCTGCTGTGACCGTAGGTGGAGGGAATCTTTCCAGGGAAAAACTGTGGGTGTTTCTGTTGATCAAGGGCAGTTTGACTAAGTGGTCTCAAGGACTGAGACTTGCTTCCTTATTCTGTTAGGAGCTCAGCTGTCAGGAGTTGTATGAAGAAATGAGGGGAGTTCCCTGACACCTCCTGCCCTGGTCGATCACTGCCGCCACAGAGTGGGTTCCTGAAAGAACTCCCAGGATGGGGCTCTGTGTGTGAGACTGAGGTGGGGGCAGGGGTTCTCTCTGCTGTGAAGGACTCCTTTGGGCTCTTGTCGCATGGTGACTGGGATACTGACTGTGCTGACATTGAGAAGGTGTATGGGTTAGGGGCTGGAGGCATGGCTCAGTAGTTAGGGACACCTACTGCTCTTGCAGAGGAACCAAGTTTGTCTCCCAGAACCCAAGTTGTCCAGTGTACAAGCGCCTGTAATTTCAGCTCTAGGGGGCCCACTGCCCTTTTCTGGACCCTGCTAGCCCTTCCCCTGTCCCCGAACATATATAACCGAGAGGAAGGGCAGTGTGTCAGTTTGGGTACCTTTTGGCCTACTATCAATAGTTGTAGTTTTTCTCTTTTAATGAACTGCTTTTTTGACATGTTATGTCGACTGTGATGCGGACAGAGGGAAATGCTACCTTACTGTTACGGCTGTCCAACAGGAAGCTTGACACGTGACTTCTAGGAGTTCTCTTAAAGCAAGTGAGATACCAAAAGATCACCTTCACACCCCGAGGGCCTCCTTCATGGAGGGACCATAGAGATCACAGAGATCTCTACCATAGAGATCCTGGTAGCACTGCCGTTTTCTTGTCGTTTAAAGCCCAGTTTTCTCCAGACTTTTAAAGTGTTAATGAGGCACCTGCACTTCCAGGGCCCAACTTGTGGGCATGCCCTACATTCAGAGCTCAAGGCTCTCAAACAAGCCCGGTTTTACTTAAGTCTGACCAAATAGGCATTGAAAATCGTAATGAAAAGAAGCCTGATGTTATCGGCCTATTTCCCACTTTATCGAGTTTCTGTCCTAGTCTCCTGAAGAATGCTCAATGACTTAATTTAATTTATTTGCTTTCTGGGAGAGAAACAGGAAAGAAATTTCCCACCAAAATAAGAAGAACTTAAAACTAAACAGATGCGGGAGATTCGGAGGCAGAGGAAGACATCTGAAATAATGTATTGAGATATTGACTGGATGTTACGGAAGGGATTGAATGCTCTGATAAACTCACTTGTAATTATAAATAATTAAAAAATAGGTTTATGAAAAAGTGATTTCACAGCCAAGGTTGACAAGCATCCTGACAGTAATTGGGAGACCCGATCTTTGCCTTTAAAAAGTCACATGACCTGGGGCACGAAGTGGCTGAATAGATAAAAGTGCTCACTGTGCACATGCGAGGATTTGAGTTCATAGCCGTGGAAGGCTCAGAAAGTAGGACGTGGTGATGTGTGCTCCAACCCTGGCACACCTGCAGTGGGAGGAAGGCAGAGACGGGAGAATCCTGAAGGGACTTTGGACCAGTTAGCTTAGAGTACACAGTAGGAGACCCTGTCTTAAACAAGGTGGAGGACGAGGCATTGGCATTTGAGGTTGTCCTCTGACAGCTGTGTACATACAGTGGCAGGAACATCCATGCTCACACACACGAACACACACACAATAAAAATAGCACATAACTCATTTTACCTGCAATTCGTCAGTTCTGAAGCAGCCCGTGGAGATTTCAACTCTGAAGAGACTTCTGTTTCTGTGACATTGGGCATCGCTGTCATTTGGATTTTCAGTGTCCCTTAAAGATCCACGTGGTAGAGGTTTGGGGCACAGTGTGACCCCTTCAGGAGCTGAGACCTGATGGAGGACTCTAGGCCTTTGGAGATGTGGTTTTGAAGGAGATAATGGGACTTTAGCCTCTTTTCTCTGCCTTTCTTTCCCCCTGCCGTATGGTGGGTGGTTTTGCCAATCCTGCCATGATGTACTGCCTTTGCCAAAGGAATTGGGTTAATAAGCCACGGACCATACCTGAAAGTACAGACCCCAGAGAAGCTTTCCACTGTATAAGCTATTGTCCCAGTGTTTGCCTTGGTGACAGATGCCAACCAACACAGGCAGGTCTCATGGTTGTCCTGACAGGACATGGGATGCTCTGCTCCCTGACAAGTTAGTGGTTGGAAGGGAAAGAGAAAACAGGGATGGAAGGCATGGAGCATGTCTGTGATCCATTACTGTAGGGGAGACGAAGGGACGTTAGAAGTTCAAGGCCATTCTCTGCTGCACAACAAGTTTGAGGTCAGCCTGGGCCACAAAGACTATGTCTAAAAACAGAAAAGAAAAAGAAAGAAAAAGAAAGGCCACATAAAGGCTTTGTGGGTAAAAGTGCTTGTTACCTGACATGAGTCGATGCCCAGAGCACAAACAATGGTGGAAAGAGAGACCCATCCCCACAAAGTTGTCCTCTACCTCCACGGGCCCCTCCCCATCACTCACATATAGAGGCAGTAATAATTTATTAAAACTTAAATGATAAGAAGAGAAAACAAACAGTTCTCGGAGTCCTGGGTTTACAAGCCTGTCTCTTCCACCAGCGCCTAGGTATACATTAGCCACTGATCTCCCTTTTAACCACGCGGCTCTTGCGGTAGAACACAAGAGCCAGGAGGGCGGAATGAGTGACGGTGACCCTCGTTCTGCTCTGCTGGAGCCGGATGCTGCTGCTTTTAGACACAGCAGGAAGTCTGTTAGCACGCATTACGTGAATGAATAAACAAGGGCTGTTATTCAGAACCTTGCAATTTAGCAGCGCATGGACGGTGCTAGGTGCGTTAACAGTCCCAGTGTGCGGAGGCTTTGACTTAGACACAGAAAGCACGCAGATCCCACAGGCTCTGGCTTCTCTAAATTTCCACACCTTCGCTCGTCACGACACTTTCCTCTATTCCGATTCTCTCCAACTCCTAGGAGATCCCTAAGGATCAACTTTAACTAAAGAATTCAACTTTAATTTTATTTATTTTTATGTGTTTAAAAAGTGTTTTTTTTTTTTTTTTTTTTTTTTTTTTTTTAAAAATTTTTTTTTTTTTTTTTTTTTTTTTTTTTTTTTTTTTTTTAGAAATGGCTAACTCCCGGAGGAAAAGGCAGTATTAAAGATCGTGCTGCCACCTACAGGTCATCAGGGGTAGCACACCCACCTCCTCTGCTAGAGGCCGGCAGAGGGGCTGTCAGAGCCTCCAGCAGGCTCAGGAAAGCTCTCCTTAGGGCCTGAGGAAATGAGAGTCCGCAAAAGAGGTGGAGGATGAGACAGCATCTCATCTGTGTTTCTGTCTCCGTTGTCTTTAGTGATGCAGGTGCACCTATGTATATGTGTGTGAGCGCATGTGTGTATATACATGTGTATGTAAGTGTATATGTGTGTATGCTTCTGTAAATGTTGTTTGTATGTATGTGCATGGGTATGTATAGGTAAGTGTATATTTGTATGTATGTATATTTATGTTTATGTGTGTGTATTTATGTGTATGTATATATTTGTGTGTATATGTGTGCATGTATTTGTATATGTATGAATATGTGTATATTTTTGTGTGCATGTGCATATGTGTGCAGAAGCAAGAGATTTGGCTGTTTTTCTTTATTTCTGTTCAGAGAAACTATAAAGATACATTAACAATGTTTGTCTTTAGGTGATGATATTTTTTCCCCCTCTTTGTTCAATTTCTCTGAAATATCTTCCAGGTATCTTATTATTTAAATGATTTAAGAGAATAATTTAATTTTAAGTTAAGTAAGATAAGAGGTGAGGTTTCCCCAGAAGAACCATACCTGTTGAAGATCAAATTAAAAGAGATTGCTGATTAGATTTATAACCAATTATGTTGAACAGAATATTTTGAGTTTTTTTTCCCTCTTTCGAAAAAGGACTGTTTCTTGTGTTCAGGTTGATAAATGTTGATGCAAGGTTTAATTTTGGAGAAATTAAATATGATTAGAACTGTTTTTTTTAGGATGAATAGAAAAAAAATTCCAGAAAATGGTTCAATAGTTTAGGAGCTTCTGATTTCCGTCCATCAAACTTCCAGAACGACTTGTTCAGTGTGTGGGAAGGAACTTCAAAGGGTTTACAGAGTTTGCCTTGCGCTGGTAAAGGGGAGGATGAAGGAGAGCCTGTCCATGCTCTCTCTGTCCCCCACGCATGGCTGCTCACGAGGAACAGGAGAACAGTGATGTCTGCCGCAGGAGCTGCACCTTTAGACAAATCCACATGATCTGAGAAACAAGCCAACAATTCTGCTTTTTAAACTTTAAGACAGGATCTTGTGGTGTAGCCCAGGCTGGCCTCAGATCCCACCCTTCTGCTTTAGGCTTTTGAGTGCTGAGAAGGCAGGGTCCTTACAGGGAGTGTGACCTTGTAATCTGGGAATGCAGGGTCCTTACAGGTAATCTGGGAATGCAGGGTCCTTACAGGGAGTGTGACCTTGTAATCTGGGAATGCAGGGTCCTTACAGGTA